TTGTTACACATTATTCAGTCTTGCTCCCATCTGCTCAGAGCGTGTAACGCGCGATAAAGAACAATATAAAATGTTTGATTGTTTCGCTAAGCTGTTTGTCGCACTAAGCTGATTCAAAAAATCCTTTTATATTGGGTAAAATATATATCGACTAGTGATGTGCCGTATCCGCGGATATCCAAGGGAGAAGAGAGATCCGTAACCGTATCCGTATCCGTGACTTTTTTGGCGGATCTTTCAATACATATTACATAGATGAAATTCTATATCGGTGATTTTGTATTCACTGTAAAACTCTTAGGTATGTGTTTGTAACACTATAAACAGCAACTTTTTTCTGGCCAACGTCAAAATGAAAAAATATTGGTTCGCCATTCAAATAACCAATCAAATGTTGTTAGTTTGTATGAAGAAACAATTTTTTTTCTTTCGTTGTCGGTGTTAGTCCCGAAGAAAAGTTGTTGTTTATAATTTTACTAATATGCATTTCAGAGGTTTTCAGTAAATTTAAAATAACCCTGAATAATGGTTATTAGGTAGCTATGAAAAACTATTGAATTCTGTTCAGATTACTTTTTATTTCTTAAAACAAATATTTGGCACCTTTGTATTGCAATCATTTATCGTACTATACTATATCAACTGGGCAGGTCGTAGGTACTGAAAGAGCTATCTTTATAATGAGATCAATCAAACATATTTGTATTAGCTTATTAAAATAATGAAATATTTAAATATCAACGGCAGAGCGTCAAGTGGCGAAAACTATCAAGATCACGGGCTCCGATTGAGTAAGAAATTTAAGATCCGTATCCGTATCCGTATCCGCGGATCTTGACACAAAATATCCGTATTCGGATCCGTATCCGCGGATATACTGTGTTAACGATCCGGCACATCACTAATATCGACGAACGCTTTGTAACATTACGCTACGGTTCTGAGAAAGGTAGTAATGGCTACAAACGCAAATGCAACTGTATAATTGTTTCGCTAAGATCCCACTTCGGTCCAGAATACAGTTTACGTTTCATTATCATATAGAAACATATACTCATATTCACGTGAACTGAATAATCAACAAATATTTTATATTTAGCAATAAACATTCCATTAAAATGCTATCACTAGACCCCACCCGACATGCGTCGGCGCACGCATATTGTATTAATAGCATTTCCGTACATGTGTTCATTGTTCGAGTCAAATGTGTGGGTGTTGTTGCAGTGTAAGGTTGATCTGTAAGTTTTTTACTTCAATATTGTACAGAAATAGCGAAAAATGTACAATATCTTCAATTTTGAAGTTGTTAATTTATTTCTTAGTGTAATGTTTCACCATAGTTTTAGCCCAGTTTGAGATGGGAAGGAAATAAACAAATTATAAGTGACATTGACCACTTATAATAGTAAAATTCATGTGAAGACAATAATATCAACAGAAAGGACGAGAATCTTGTCAGGGACAGGTCCAGGCCAAAGCACTGTGTATCTGTGTATAGTCAGAACTAATTTCCAGCATTCGATACTAAGTAACGGTGCACGATTGCACAAAGTCAAAGTAAAACAGGATGTGTCAATCAGCTCAGCTAAAGAAAAAACAGATATAATTTATCCTTTTTTTTTTAATATGTAGCAAATATACCTGCGTTAGAGTGAATTGTAACGAGTATTTTCTTTAGAAAGCGCTTTTTTTACATCACTACTGTCTTATTGTAGTATATACTTTGTTTCTTTTTTCTTTCTCGGGAACACGAAGAGTTTTTACTGCCATGAAGTAAACACCCTACTTGGATTGTTGTAGACTCTCTTCTGCCGTGCTATTTATCGGAAAACGGCAACGATAGTAGTTACCTTTGATGATGAGAAAAGGAGAGAAGTAGAATTCTACTTTTTAGTTGTCAATTATATGATAATTGTTTCAATTATATGAAAATTTAGTATGAATAATTGGCCTGTTCTAAATAAAAAAAATATTGTTACTAATAATTTTTATATTATTTTCCCTAATGCTGTACTGACTACCGCAGACTATGAACCCTCAACAAAATTCACAAATGCGTTGCCATCTTTTGAATCCCCTCCCCTTCCCCCTCCGGTAACCTCACTCACACAGTTAAAAACAGCGGAAGAAGTGCTTAATATACTTATGAAAAATATTTGAATTCTGCAGTATTTCGTCGTAGGAATTCTCTTTTCCTATCTATAGGCCCTTCAAAAGAAAATCTCTCGGTATAACCTACAAACATAATTTTTACTACTCATAAGTGTATGCACGTCGACAGCATGAATCATCAGACGGCGCCTGTGTTGCGCCTGCGCCGACAAGTTTCACCGCGTATGGTAAATGCACCATTACATGTAGATTTTTAGTTCATTTGCTTACGATACTCGTTTAAGTAGGTCATGTTAATCTTTTTGATTTTATATAACCTATAAACATCGTCCTCTTATCACAACCCCAATTCATCCCGTGGGTGTCGTAAGAGCCAACTAATTGCACAAATAACACAAAATCTATACCAACCCGTCTGGCCAGCGTGGTAAAGTAGGCCAAAACACAGCACATCAACCATTTTTCTAAGTTCTTGAAACAACATAAGTTATGTCATCACATAAAAACTTCATTTTTTTATAAAAGCAATTATATATTAAAATAAATATTGTAATTGAATATTAATTACTATTCCATATACTGTATTTCGATAGTAACTTGTTTTGCCCAATTTATTCGAGATAGCCTATCGTAAATCTTCTTTTTATTAACTTTAGACCGACTCAGCGGACCCTTCATTAAAGTTCAAATGAAGAAGAATCGTAATCACTTAGCTATCGAATAATTATGATTCGTTATGAGTTTTAAACTTTTTAAAGTAAAACTAGGCTTACGTTCCTTTTTTACATATTACACACGGTCGGCTGGTGCCAAACTAGACAAGAGCCTGTGCTATGGTGACCAGACTGCTGATAAACATACTTATATATTTCTAAATGCATACATATCATTGATAAATTACCCCCAGACACAGAATAAATAATCGTACTCATCACACAAATATTTGTTCTGGGTGGGAATCAAACCCACGACCTCCGGCTTAGCAGTGAGGATCACTAACTAGGTCAACAGGCACGTCAAGTATTTTAGTCAAATTAAAACTAACATACCAAACAAAATAACCTGCAGTAAATGAATTCACTTATTTTATACTTTAATGTTACATTATTACAGATACTTAAATTATTTAACTTAATATAAACTCATTTTACTATTATCTATTAAGACCTGCAAACAACTGTTCACTTTTTTACATAAATATTTTATATCCAATAGATATCGAATATAACATAAATCGTAACAATACATATAGTTAAAGGCAGACACAGTATCTATTGTTACAAAAAATTGAATTAAAAATTTAATATAAAATGTCTATAGTACGAATAAAATAAAATAAAAAATAGATCAAGTAAAAATTTTAACCAGATCGATTTAAACTTATTTAATAAATCAAAGTAGATATGGACTACGAGTATGTCACTGCTGGCAGCTATTTAACAATATGCACATGGAGTATAGGGTAGATTCCTAGGTGGAAAATAAATAATTTCACCTGAATCATTAAACGTAACATCTTAAGGTACAGCCTGAATTGTCCACCATTATTAATTTAATATTTTTATTGTTTTGATATCTTCAAATCGACAATAAAAAGAAATGATTTGATATTTGCTAGGAATGACGTCACGCCATAGTATTTCATACAAAACGGTACCGCGTCTATTTGTACGTCCGTCCATCTGGTGACGGGTTAAGAATACGGAGTGTCACCATTTCTATTCAAACCTTGGGTAAGAACCGCGTAAGGGTGAAAACTATGCAGGCCAACAGCACTGCAAAAGGAAGAAAAACTTGACACAAACGCTGCACCAACCCGTCTGGCCAGCGTTTTATAGTTGGCCAAAACCTCCTTTCTAACGAGAGGTCTATGTGTTGCAGTGAACTATTAAAGGCTGTTCATGATATTGATTTGACCTTTGGCCCCGTAGGCGCCCAGAACAGTTCTCCTTAATGGAGGACATAGCAGAATAATAGGCTTGCGCGGAAGCCTGAAAGCCACTCGAAATTTAAAAAGGGCCAATAACGGAGAGCAATTAATTTTGTAATTAACAGCGGCGAACATTGTTAAGCATTGCAAGCAGTTTTGTAAAGTAAAAAAAAACAGCATCTATGAACACATAATTGTATACAGTTGAGCTTGTATCCATTTGTGGTGATACCTCACGTCCGTATAGACTGTGACCTTTCGCATAAATGGGAGTCTATAGGCTACGATCCCTATTTGAATATATCCTTTGACTATAAGAGCACTTCCAGAGTCTCCCCTGAAAAAAAATATCATTTTTTTACGATTATGCTGGATACAAAGCACCGTCGGCAAAAAGCGAATTCGCAAATTTTACACCTGAGATCAAAAACAACAATGATTCAGAAAGATTTCGTTTAAAAAATTGGAGAACTAGAGAAAAGTCAGTGCTGGATCTTCAATTTTCTTTGTCATAGGAAGACAAGACATAGAGGATACTACGACATTTTCGCTTTCTGCGGTTGATTTTTATGCAGCTGAAAAGCTTAAATCAATGACTACCTACAGCTCTTTAGCTTGAAAACCTCATTGCTATTGACATATCGTTGACTGGTTATTCCTAGTGACCGACACTTCCGTCTAATAATTCTAAACCACATCCATCACACCAATGAACACATTTTGAGAACCTTCAAATCAGTAGTAAAATTTCAGAATACATATCAACAGCGCATGACCTTACGCGACTTCTATTTCTGGAGGCTGTTTTCTTAAGGTCTACTAGGATCTCTTCCAATAAAGAAATTTGTGACGGAATATTGCCTGCTCTTAGTTGGCTGAGACTGGTGAGGGGATGGCCCGTAGGGATTTCTACACAAAAAGGCCTTACACTACTGTTAAATATGATGTGTGTTACTTACGCAGCTGGATAGAATTTTTCATTCCTTCCACATATGGTGCCTTTAGGAAGTATGAATAATAACTCTTTACATTTTTCTCTGGTTAACAGATTTTGCTTTAACTCTTTTAGACGATCTGCTTTGACTGCAGTTGGGGTTTCCTGATAGAAAAATAATAAAAATAAACTAAAAAGACGATCTATCTGAACTATGTCAGGTAGTGCTTGCTGTAAGACAAACATGTAAAATCAAATGGACCAACGACAACGTTGATTAGACTCTAACATGATCATCTGGACGTATTTAAAAATCCAAAAATAATAATAGAGATAATATATTATAAGAGAAAGGAGATGGCAGATCATGTACCCTTAAAAATATATGATGGATGATCATAAAATTTTTACCGTTTATAGAGTGAGTCATCTTAACAATTTTCATGTAATAATAATATGTTTAGAACTTTACTAAAAGTGAATAAATTCTTCTCAAAGAATTGTTACAATGCAATAAATAAAAGTTAGGTGTTGTTGTGTTGTGTAAAGTTAGGCGATTTAAACAAATGTTTAAATCGAGATTAATTGATGAGGTCACTATATAGTATTTAACAGTTAAAAATAAACATTTCTTTATCAATAATGTTGACTGTACATATTACACGTAATAAAATAATGATTATTTTAAATCATCTTATTTAAAGAAAAAGTACTAATAACTTTAATTCATATTGATTAGATTAATCGTGAACATTTTGTAAAAAAAAGTAATTAAACTGATAGGTGGTATCCGATTGGATTTCCGCACGGAAAAAAAAGGGTATCATTTTATTGACGTATCAAGAAAACCATAAACGTTTGATTTTGAAACCTATCTAGGTTAACTCTGGTTAACTTGTTGACAGCAATGGCAACTTATTTGTGGGTTCAGTTGTCATTAGTATCGACTTTAGTACAGTCTGTATGCAAACTATAAACTGAAATAACTTTTGAACGCAAAGTTCTAAAAATCTGGCAATTAAAACTGTAATTGTTGATGATATTACTGGCCAAATAAATACAACAATAATCCCTACCATAAGATAAGCAAGGCGACACATTAAACTTCTTACCTGAATAACACCCCAGCCGGCTACATGTCCTTCTTTCGGCATTTTAAGCTTTTCCATCAGAGCTACACGTTTAATTTCGGAACTGAATTTTAAAGGTTTCTTAAATCTCACTAAGGCTATATCATTCCCTTGGTTTTGATCAGCCTCAACAAAATCAGGGTGAAGAGTGAAGTTGGAAGCTGAAGTAACAACACCTTTTAATCGTATTATATTTCCAGCAGATATGGTAACTTCAGTGTAGTTGGAGCAACCGTTAAGACAATGGGCTACTGTCAATCCAACTTCATGAGTTAAAATAGATGCACCACAAATCCATTTACCTAATGTCTTACGTTCATTCGACTTACACTGTATACCAAGATGTAGAGCATGTGGATGAGAAGTTATTTTTGCATTATCACCATCGACAATAAATGGCTGCATGCTTTCAACAAGAATAAATAATGCTTGTATAAATACAAACAGTAAAGGAATATGCATAGTTATCGTTTTCAGCAACACTGTACAAGGATTGTATCACCAGCGATTACGTCGTCTTTGGCTAATTAAACGTCAGTCGTAATAGTTTATGTATTAATAAAAAATTTAAATTATAAACCCTACTAATTACTCTTTCCACGTTAATAAACTTCTCTGATATACTTCATGCACCATTAATCATTTTCTTTTATAGTGCCTAATTCCTCTGGTTTTGGACTATGTTATAGGATCGAGCAGTGAACGCGTCAGTCGATTCAGTTTTACACATTACGGCAAAATACATTATGCTCCTGTCATAAATATATTCAGTGTTTAACAAAAAAAGGGGGAATCTATGTAACAGTTGGTTCTCAAAGGAATCTGAAGATATTATTAGCATTCTGGTAAAAAAAATTGATGCTACTTTATCAATTTTTTTCGTGTGGGAGAGCCGTGTTTCTACATATATGGGCTGGTGGTACCACAGCTAAAATTAAGATTTTAAGCAGTTCTGTCCTTGCTTTTCACCGAGTGAATGAGGATATCGGAGGCCTAACTGTATCATCTCTTAGTCCTGATTTTGGGGAAGGGGCATTCAAAGGATAGCAATTCAGGTCTCCATGGCTAGCGGTAGTCACTTAACACGACCCGTCTGCTCGTATGCCTCCTATGACTATTCACCAAGGATTTCAAAAGAGGCGGACTTGTCTTAGGCTGCTTCGTTAATACTCGTAGTAGTAGAAGATTTTCAAGGCAAGGGACTGTGATTATAGGATGGCATCATATCCCGTTCTGAAGGTCCCCTCAGAAAATTATTCTAAACTCAAGTAAAGAATATTTTCTTTGGGTACAGTTAAGTTAGTTAGTTGGTTTCTGTTTTAAATAGACTACCGGAGTATAAACATTTCTGATCCATATATACGCGGTGTTAACGTCGACTACACCTATTCCTAATTATCTTTATTCACCATCTTATAGAAGCCTTCAGTTCAACGAACAGTATAACAAATATTAACAACTAGGACAACCTAATACTCGAAGATCAATAACTTTTGAATACTAAAGATGCCGACATATTTGTGACCAAGATTTGTGTGATCACAGGGAATGTAATAAATTATATGAACGCAGAAGTCATTGTTGTATTAATAAAACAATACATGGAATATATGATCCAGATTTCACTAAATGTATAAGATTCACCTGAAAATATATTTACTTCGTAATGGCATCATTAAATAATAGCTCTAATTTTGTTCATTAATTTGATAGAAGATGTAATCTATTAAAAAGAAAATGTTGTCGTACAATAAAGTTTGTTTTATAGTATTCTAAGACATCATGAGATATCATAAGTATAATATCTTATTGTCATTCTGAGTTTGTCAACTAAATTTTAATGCATCAAAATTTAGTTGACAAACTCAGAATTCAGTTAATCTCAGTGAATATCGTTAAGCACTTATGTGAAGAAGAAAAAAAACAGCATCTATAAACACATAATTATATTCAATTGGGTCTGTATCCATTTGTAGAAATACCTCACGTCCGTATAGACTACGAGATCTGTTCTTACTGTAGGGACTTTATAAGAGACGAGACCAATTTGAATAAATCCTTTGACTATAAGAGCACTTCCTGAGTCCCCTCTGAAAAGTAAATAAGCATTTATTTTACGATTAAGACGGATGCATCGGTGTTAATGCATCGACGGCAAAAGGCGATTACTCGAAACATCTAATTTTACACCAGAGACTGAAACTATTTCATAAAATTGCCTCAAAAAGATTAAAATTAGAAATAAATTTTAATAAATTTGAAAAAAAGCGTTTGGTACCTGTTGTCAATAGTAAAAAGCAACCCACGCTTTTTTTCAAATTTATTAAAATTTATTTTCTATTTTTTAGTTTGGTTTTCTATAAAAGCGTGTTTTTTAGTTCTTTTAAACTATTTACGATATAGGTAAAGCATATGTTGAGAGGTTTCATCTTAGTAGTGAAATTTTATAATGCATATCAACAGTTCGTCACGTTAAACGAAAACATCACGTAAGCCACTGTTGGACATAGGCCTCTCCTTAAAAAGGAGATTTTGGCTTTGGGTTGGTATAAGATTTGTTTCAAGTTTTCCTTCACTTAGCAGTCTCTAAATGAACACTTTAAATAAAACCACTTGTGGTGGAATATCACTTGTGGTTGATTGAGACCCGTGAGGGGGGCCATCCGATGACTGTTGCGTCTACACGATAAAAAGGCCTTACATTACTGTTAAAATGTGATGTATGTTACTTACCGAGATGCATAGCCCATTTCATTCCTTGCACATATGGTGCCTACAGGAATATCACCTAAAACTTTTCCACATTCTTTTCTGGTCATCAGAAATTGTTTTGCCTCTTTGAGATATTCTGTTAAGACATCAGGATTTTCCTGAAAGACAGGTTACCAAAATGAACTAAAGAGTCGGCTTATCTGAACTATATCAGGCAATACTTGTTGTTAGACGAGCATATAAATCTAATGGGGTATATTTGATTTTTGCAACTCGACCCCTCAATATCGTTGATTTGACTCCAATATGATCTGCTGACCGTATTTTGAAGATTCCACACACAAAAATAGAGATGATATAAAATATATTTTAATGTAAGCCAACACATTGAACTACTTACATGCATAATACCCCACCCGGCTACATATGCTTCTTTCGGCATTGGAAGCTTTTCTATCAGAGCCACACGCTTAATGTTAGAACTGAATTTTAAAGGTTTCCTGAACCTCACTAAGGCTATATCATAACCTCCATCTATTTCCAAATTTGTATAATCAGAGTGAACAACGAAATTTTGAGCTAAAGTAACAACACCTTCCAGTGGTTTTACATTTCCAGCGGAAATTGTAACTTTACTGTACTTTGTGCAACCGTAAAGGCAATGGGCTGCTGTTAATCCTGCCTCTTGGGTTACAATAGATGCACCACAAGCCCATTTGCCTGTTATCTCAGCATCATCCGACTTGCAGTTGACACCAAGATGCGCAGAATGTGGAAAAGAATTTATATTTGCATAATCACCCTTGACAACAAACGGCTCCATTTTGCTTTCAACAAGAAAAAATAATTCTTTTATAAATATAAACTGTATAGAAATATGCAGATTCATTATATCAAGTACCACTGTATAAGGATCGTGTCACTAGCGATTATGTCTTTGGCAAATTAAAGTTCAATCGTAACAGTTTTATGAGTCAATAAAGATTTTAAATTACTAATCTTACTAATTATTCTTTCCACGTTATTAAACTTCACTGATATGCTACATATACTATCAATCATTTCCCTTTTTGATTGACTATGCACGTAGAACATTCGTGCATGGGAACTAGCTTGATAGTGACTAATTCCTTTGGTTTCGGACTTACGTTGCAAGATCGGGCAGTAAACACCTCGGTCGGCTCGGTTTTACATAAGGCAAAATACATTTTGCTCCTAGTAGGCAAGGCCCAAATTTAGTATTATTCGTTATGAGTATATGACAAAAAAGGGGGTGCTTATGCAACTGTTACTTCTCAAACAAATCTAAAGATATCATTAGCAATCCAATGCAAAAATCTGACACTACTTTAAGTCTTCACGGCTTCAAAGGTTTACCGATTTTAAGTAATTCTGTCCAGCGGCCTAACCGTACCCCACTTATAGGGAAGGGTACACAAGGGATGGATATGCTTTTAGGTATATCATTTGAGTTGCAAGTCTTCATTGGTAGCCATTTAAAATGTGGTGATCCGTTTCCTCGTCTGCCCCCCTATTACATGAAAGAAACAGATCAACAACTTTGGAAACAAAATTAAGATGCCGACGTATTTTTGACAAGATTTGTGTGATCACAGTGAATGTTATAATATATTTGAATGCCTCGTGGCAGTCTGTACACGTATTGTTAAATTTCGATCAATTAAAGCATTGTTGTCATTAATCAAATGTTTTATTTCCGACTCGGAGAGGCTTGCTTTGGAGCAAATGAGCAGGCTCAAATTCAGTGATAACACGTGTCCAAAATGTCATAAAGTGGCTCGTACTTAGACGGCAGTAAATTGGACGTTGGAGAGTTGGTACGGACGTTTAATACATCTCCGTCTAGCCTTTGGAGGATAGATATGAATATACAGAAAGCAAGAACGTCTCACATTAGAAAGTTTACTCCACATTACAGACGCCGTGTTTCTCATTTAATGTCGCATGATAAAATCGCGCGACTAAACTTTGATGTGAAAACGTGTGATATTACAAGATGGTACCTGGTTTAGACTTGATTAAAATCTACATCATTAAATGTTTTAGCGAGAAATTTGAAAAGTAACCGTTTTTTTGGCATATTTTTCGTCTAGTAATATTTGTTAGGCCTACGTTAAAACATTTGAGCAATTTCAATAAAATAAAAATAATAAAATATTTATTTATCCAAACAACCTTTGAAAAATTCTACTCAATACTATTTAACATTCAATCAAGGTACGCAGGTAAAGATAAACCCTAACTCCCAAACTAGGTATTCCTGTGACTTGGGAGTTAGTGTTCTGCCGTAACTACATTCAATATTCAATATTTTACTAACTTATCTGCATAGAAAAAGATAAAATAGCTACAGTTCCTGGGTTACCTCTGCGTTGGGATCTATTTTCTTTCTACATATTTGTGTATCAGGTGATGTCGAGCTATTCTTGTGGTTACGAATTAAGGATACGGATTTTCACCACCCCTATTTATTCCGTGGGTGTCGTAAGAGGCAACTAAAGACAATAGCACTGCTAAGAAGAAGAAAACTTGACACAGACCTATACCGCTTCGTCTGGCCAGCGTGGTATAGTAGACGAAAACCTACTTTCTAAGGAGAGACCTATGTCTAGCTGTGGACTGTTAAAGGCTGTTGATGTGATGTAATGACGAGCTTTAGTGATATCGATTAGGTAAATATTGTTGAAAACAATTTTTATTAATAATATGATGAGCTAACAACTTCGGAACCATCTGTTAAAGGATATTTATGTTTGCCTCCTTAGCCAGCAGGCTGACATTTTACAATGAAGTAGAGTACTTACTAATCAAAGTGTTAAACAATCTGTTATTTAGGGTTCAAGGTCAATTTATTAAAAATAATAATTAAAGTCAGTTCATCATAATGTGTGTAAATGTGTAGCAGAGTTATTTATAAAGTTTTACATAGTAAAAAGATGATCGTGTTGAAGGCACGCAAATAATTAGCAACAAAAAAATCCTTGTTATAAATTCGCCAGTAACTTGTTACACGTTAGCTACTTGAATTTATGCTTTATATATTCCATTAACTTTTCATTGTAAGTTAAAACAACTTTCTCTAGACAATATAGAAACTTTATTTGAGCTTATTGCTTTAAGCATTTATTGAAATTTGAATTACATGCTTTTACTACCACCCTACCAATACAGCATTCTTCATCGTATTTCTCTAGTGAAAAAAATCTACAACATTGATAGAAAGCTCTGTTTAATCAATGTTTATTATTTTAAGTATTTGTTGTGGAATGCATTCTAAATCAGATATGTAAATAGTCCCAACAGTACCAATTACTCTAATTATTTACAAAGAGACTACCAAATACGTACAATGATTTTTGTACGTATGTTGTACGTTTCAACAATACCTAACAGTGAACGGAGCAAAGTAATTGATTCTTTGTTATAATTAAATCTTAATTAGGCAATACATACTAGGATTATAATACGTTTGTTATTATCGATCGACCAAAATCCAAATAGTAGCACAATCATACTTTAGTTAAAGTTTTTATTTTAGTTCGTTGGTTTAATTAGTTTAGTCGTAGCAAATTTAAATAAGACTGCAGTTTAGTTATCATTTAACAAATTTCCTAATTTAATATAAATATTGAGGCAACCTGAGAATACTCAAGACCAAAAAAATTACTGGTATTTTTTGTCCGACTTAAATTAATGACGGTCGTGACGCAGAAAGCGGTTGTCCTGAATTGGTGCTGATATTGTGTTCTGAATAAAATAATTTGCAATTTCTTTTATATTTAACTGATTCAGTTAATGTAATAGCTGTCCGTGAGGTGACGGATTAAGAATACGGATTGTCACCACCCGCAATCATCCCGTGGGAGCCGACTGCAATGAGAAGGAAAACTCAACACAAACCCTATACCAACCCGTCTGGCCAGCGTGGCATAGTAGGCCAAAACCTCCTTTCTAAGGAGAGACCTATGTCCAGCAGTGGACTGTCAAAGGCTGTTGATGATTGATGAATAGCTTTCATTAAACCTTTTTAAGCATTTGACTTTTATGTTTCCTGCACATCTATGTATGTGTTATATAAGTATGAATGTAAGCATTGAACCCGATGGTCGTAAGGTTAAGTGGTAAGGTCAAAATTATTGCTACTTTGAAATCATTTCCATTTTAAGTTTTTTTTTGCATATTTTCACACATCTCACACACGGCCGGCATCACACAAACATACTTATATATTTCTAAATACATACATATTATAGATAAAGTCAGGTAAACATATTATAGGTAAACAGGTCAGTCAAAAGTTTGTTTTTAATCACAGCGATTTCACATGTGATTATGATTCGTCATAGACAAAGATAAATGGTATCTAATAAAATCAATCAAAATTATTTTTATCAAAGATTACCTTTTTTCTTAGTCTTGCGTCTGTCGTGAGTCTTGCGCTAGCGTAATAATAATAACTAAGTAGCTGTGGTTTTGTAAATGAGTCACGGGGTTGATTAATAAATCATTTATTTTTTACATGTGATTGTGATTTTATTCCGTCCCTAGTGGTAATCACTACCACCACCCATGGACATCTGCAAATCAAGAGCCACAACGGTGTTGCCCTTTGAGACCTTCCCTAGAATCAAGGGAGAAGTGGTTATGGGGGAAGAAAGAATTTGCTTTGCTTAACACCGGTCTTCTGTGAGGCCGTGTCACCAGGACCAGATTAACCATGTCGGGGTCCTTAGGCAATGCAATTCTCAGTGCCTCTCCCGTTTGAGACTTATCAGCTCTTTATTGTTGATAAATGATTCCGCAATCCCCGCTTGCTCTAAGTAATCAAGCATATCAAAACTTTTTTTTTCCATTCAATACGTAATGCATCCATGTTATTAGTACACGTATTACTGCAAGTATGCAGTACTCGTATTTCATTAACTAATAGAATGTGTCTAAAAAAAACAATAATACCTATTGTCTGTGAGGATACAGATTTTCCCAATAAATTTTCACTCCATAAAACATTTTCAATTTCTTTTTAGCTCGCGCGGGGCCACTTAAGGATGTGGGGGCTCCTAGGCAGTTGCCTACTCTGACTAATGGTTAATCCGGTCCTGCGTGGTACCACTAGTCGAGCTGTCCCATTTATGCAAAGCATCTTAAAACTAGAAGGTGAGACTCAGTACTTAGTTAACATATTAATTTTTATATAAAGATAGGTTAGTGACCTTTTATTTAAATATCGAGGTAGGTAACTGACTCTAAAAGCGTGTGAAACCTTTATTAATATTTTGTCATCACAATGCGTCATTCGTCTTAGTCACAGACCGCAGATCTGAATTCTTAGAACGAACGAGTATTTTCTGAGAAAAATATCATTTTAATAATACTACTATGAATGCAGACCTTTAAAGGCGTGTCCTATAATGATTGAGAAGAAAATATATCAGAAAAGTGCAGATTGCAGAAGCGTCATTATAATATAGTATCTGACAGTAAACTCAAAACTTTAGCTAAATATTGTAAGTAACAGAGATTAATTATTAGAAAAGAAATAGAGCTTTGATTAGATTTCAATTAACTTCGGGTTCATAGAAGGAAGGTTTAAAAAAAAATCACATCACTGATTAAGCCAAGTGTTTGATGTCATTTTATTGCGACATACTTGTTTTTTGTTTTATTTTTTAACTGTACAGCTGATATTTGAAAGTCTGACAGCAAGTCCGTCAATTTTCTTCTTACTTATCGTTTGTCATCAATACTTCCAACAACTACTAGGAGTGGCAAAAAGTGATGCAATCTATGTGACGTTTGTTC